ATCAAATATTTAAAATTTACAAATTTACTAGTGTACGGGGTGGGGAAACAAGTCTCCATCCAACCACTAAAGTTTAAAAGGAAGACTATAGTGTCCCTTGAATTCATTATAGAGTTGAACTACTTTGGCCGGCTTACGGACAACTCATCCCCTAGACAACTCATCCCTTGACGACTCATCCCCTAGACAACTCATCCCCTAGACAACTAACCTTTTTAGGTGGATCCCGGCTATGGCATTAATGGTTGAGAAATAGGGATCGAAACCAGCCATAGTTTTCTCCTGATGACCATTGTGAATTATTGTGTTTTATGGATTATGGCGACGGCTTTTGTGAATGGATGTTGACCCTTTGAAATGCCTATGGACTTGGAGACTGGATTTTATCTATCCCACATCATTTGAGACTGAATGCTCTATCTTGTATGAGTACTTGTATCTACAACAATTTTTGAGGTTATGAGTATTGGCTTTCAATTGGCTATCAATTTCTAATTTTTTCTTCAACATGTATTGTAATGACTTCAGTATGAATGAAATGTCCCTTGGTCTTCTGGTCTTGGATTGTGATATTGATTCTTGAATGGTGGGGGAAAGGGGGTATTAGACATTGTTTCTTTTCACGTTAGATCATGGTTTTGGGCTATATGGGGTTTGTTTTTCTTAACTGGTATGCACTTAGAGTTTGCTTTTTCTTGTTAAGTTCCATTACAACTTTTGGTCCTTTCCCTTTTGGCACTAGTGCTTATATATTCATCCCTGGACGACTCATCCCCTAGACAACTCATCCCCTGGATATCTCATCCCCTAGACAACTCATCCCCTGGATAACTCATCCCTAGACAACTCATCCCCTGGACAACTCATCTCCTAGACAACTCATCCCCTGGACAACTCATCCTTTTTTCACATGAAGCTAAATTGTGAGGTGTTTCTTTCTATTTAAGAGATACACCTTATATCATTCAAAATATCATTTTTCACTTTATTGACACAAATAAAACAGTCAAACAGTAAAATGGTGCCATTAAAACTCTCATCTCTTGCCCTTATATTACATGATTCAAAATTGCATTTAAGTAACTTCATCTGTGAATGCTGTGAAAAAATAATCTCTGGATTAAAGAATATTTGAGCTATGAACAACAAACATATTATGACATCAAAGGAGCTTCTTCAATCAATGTTAATACTGTATAATATTGAAACTGTATATTAAAAGTAAAATCAAAAGTAAATATTTACAAAACAAATCACAGATTAATTGGTTGATTATCTCCTTGATAATTTCAAAGTTTTTTTAACAATTTTCCAGATTCCCCCCAGAAAGTCTTTACGCTGGTTACTGAAACGGATCATTCGCGATCATGTACATTTTCTTAGACATATGATACTGGCATACATTTGTGGGTTGAGTACCAGTGTGTTATATACGTTTTTGAAACTTAAAACTGATCATATTCATAACCAAAACATTTAAAAAATCATTTGCATACAGCAGACTTGCCAACCTCCCGTTTTTTTACGGGAATCTCCCGTAAATTTTTTGTTTTTCCGTAAAAAATACCAAACTCCCGTACCGTTTTCTCCCGTAAAATCTCCCGTAAACTCCCGTACCGTATTTTTACTATAATCTCCCGTAATTTTTTTAAAAAATATGGCCGTAAAATCTCCCGTATTTTGCTGAAATCTCCCGTAAAATCTCCCGTATTCTGGTATAACTCCCATAAAATCTCCCGTATTCTTGGTATAACTCCCGTAAAATCTCCCGTTTTCTGGTATAACTCCCGTAAAATCTCCCGTATTCTTGGTATAACTCCCGTAAAATCTCAGTTTTTTGCTGTCGAAATCTATCGATATCTAGGCTCTAGGCTGTAAGTTGAAATATCTGTGAATGAGACTAAGTAGTTTGTGAAAACAGAAACCCTAGAGCCTGGAAGATTCTGATTGGCTACTGATGTTAGAAGTTTAAAAGGTTAAATATTGCATCACCACACAAATATCCTAATGAAGCATTAGGGTCATATAGTGAACGCCACATATACATTTTACTTAGCTTTGATCAATTCGTTTCCAAAGTAATAAAAACTCCCGTTTTTTCTAAATCTACCGTAAAAACTCCCGTTCTTACAGAAATCTACCGTAAAAACTCACGTTTTTTTTCAAAATCTACCGTAAAAACACCCGTTTTTCAGAAACCTACCGTAAGAACTCCCGTTTTTTCCGAAATCTACCGTAAAAAATCCCGTTCTTTCAAAATCTACCGTAAAAACTCCAGTTTTTTCAAAATCTAAAGTAAAAACCCGTTTTTTCAGAAATCTACCGTAAAACTCCCGTTTTTTCAAAATCTACCGTAAAAACTCCAGTTTTTTCAGAAATCTACCGTAAAACCTCCCGCTTTTTCAGAAATCTACCGTAAAAACTCCCGTTTTTTAAAAACTCTACCGCGAAAAGTCCCGTTTTTTCAAAAAGTACCGTAAAAACTCCCGTTTTTTCCAGAACCTACCGCAAAAACTCCCGTTTTTTCAGAATCTACCGCAAAAACTCCCGTTTTTTCTGAAATCTTCCGTAAAAAAGTCACGTTTTTTAAAATTTACCGCGAAAAATACCTTTTTTAAAAAATCTCCCGTAAAATCTCCCGTTTTTTTCAAAATCTCCCGTAAAAACTCCCGTTTTTTTCAAAATTTACCGCAAAAACTCCCGTTTTTTTTAATGTCCCGTAAAAACTAGTTTTTTTCAAAAATCTCCCGTAAAAACTCCAGTTTTTTCAAAAATACTCCCGCAAAAACTACCGGATTTTGAAAAAAACTCCCGTAAAAGTACCGCAATTTTTTTTAAATCTCCCAAAAAATTTTCATTTTAGGTTGGCAAGTCTGATACATCAAATATGAATTTATAAAATTAAATTACTCAAACATGCCAAAGGATGAGTCGTCCAGGGGATGAGTTGTCCATGGGATGAGTTGTCTAGGGGATGAGTCGTCCAGGGGATGAAAATTGGTACCCGGTACCCGGTCGAAAAACCGGGTACTCAAAAAAACGAGAATACTATATACGTATAACATATATCATTAGAAAACGTGTAAGATTTGTTTTGAATTTACAAAAATGTATGTAACTTCCTTCAAAATTGAGCTAGAAGCTTCAAATAAAAAGCATTTTAAGGCTCTTTTCTTCCTCTATCATCATGTTCATATTTTCATTGGTTATGGGGGGGGGGTGCCATTGCACCCCATCCTGGCTACGCCTGTGACTTTGTACGACGATTTGAAAACCATGACAAATCAATCTTACTCTATTTTCAATAGTTCAATTGTTTTGATTATGATTTAATTCTGTAAATAGCTATTCGTTACTTTAGCAGAGAGGAGACTTGTGTTAATTTACATGATGCAACGTGTAAGTTATCCCAATTTTCGACGAAACGTCCACTGAAGTGTAAATTGTTACGCCTTACCATGTCATAGGCGTAGCCAGGAGGGGTGCGATGGTGCGATCGCACCCCCCCCCCCCCATAACCAATAAAAATATGAAATTTTGAAGGAAGTTACATACATTTTTGTAAATTCACACACGTCACCTCTCTGTTTAAGTAACGATAGCTATTTACAGAATTAAATCATAATCAAAACAATTCTCGTACCAACATACGAACTATTGAAAATAGAGTAAAATTGATTTGTCATGTTTTTAAAATCGTCTTACAATGCCAAAGGCGTAGCGATCGCACCCTCCCCCCCCCCATAACCAATGAAAATATTCGAAGAAAAGAGCCTTAAAATGGTTTTTTATTTGAAGCTTCTAGCTCAATTTTGAAGGAAGTTACATACATTTTTGTAAATTCAAAACAAATCTTACACGTTTTCTAATGATATATGTTATATATTCGTATTTTTCGCTTTTTGGGTACCAGGTTTTTTCGATCGGGTACCAAGTTTGAACCCAGCATGGAGGATTTACTACCCGGTATCCATCCGTTTTTTTCTAGAAACCCCCATCTTCCCCAGTGTATCATTAAACTTGATGTTTCCATCCCTTGCTATAATTGACCAAAGTGATATAGTAAGGAAGCAGTTGAATAAGAGTCACTATAATAAACCATGGAAATGGAGTATTTTTTCCTAGGGTCACCGTGTAACAACAGGTTGTACACCAGTCTCGAACGTACCCTTCCATAAATCACATTTGATTGATATGCTGACGGTATTGTTCATTAAAATGATCATCTTGTCAAATTTCACCTTAGGCAAATAGTCGTTGAGTTTGCCATCTTTAGCAGCAGCTTGCCTGAGTTTACCTCAACAATTGTAGCATTACCAAAAGTAAGATGTTTGCAACTAATAACCAACTGGTCAGTCGTCAGCTCATTTTCTGAGACAGATATCTGACAGCACATTTGGAAATAACAACACACGATTTATCTTTTCAGGTGTCGTTTCACAATGTACATTCTGATTCTACTTTTATCATCGGTATTGGGCCAAGCAGCACAAAAGGTTGCCGTTGACCCAAGTACGTCACCACATTAGTTCACTATTCTTTGGAATGACTTGGACGAGTGATCACGGTGGTCAAAGATATCGAAGCCACAGTAACAGACAGCGACTTTCTGTTAACTTTTTACCGCAATCCATCGCCATAGTGAAGGAACAATTGGTCATACTCTCCACGTCTATCCAGAAAATTCAGATATTTTTTAATATTTAAAGCAGTTTATGTTTATGTTTCATTATTTCCTCCGTGTTGGGAGAGTATAAAAATGTACATCAAATTAAATTACATAATTTACAAAGGTTAAAAGTATAAAAAAAGAGATTCAACATATTTACAGAAGCATGTTCTTCAGATGTTCTATTTACATTGTTTAGGATGAAGGTATATTCAAGTATACTCCCCAAGACTCGTGGAATCTTGTGAAACAAACCTGAAGAAACCTTTAATGTCAAACAGGCTTACGCTACACATTATTATGAATTGCTGAAACATCAAATCATCCATGAACAACTCTGACCTACTGCCTAGAAGTGTGTGAGCAGTGTCCTTTCGGTAACGAATTGATAACTTTGTATCTACTTTCATATGTTGAATCTGAGAATAACTTATGATGGTCTCAGGTTGAATGAAAATTGACCAATTGTCCAGATTACATTTTAACAGTAGTGAAACTTTGATTTTCACTTTTGACGTTCTTCATATGATTTGAGTTTATATACATTTGGAAATAGATACAGAGTAACCTCTTCGTCACCAAATCGACACTATTTTAACATGTACAATACAGTGGCGGATCCGGGGGTCCATTGGGCCCACCCCTCCCCCTTTAGCGGGCCCAGAATTTTTTTTCGTTTTTTGGGCCCCAAAATTGTGTAGGACCGACCTCAAAAAATGGGCCTTTTGGGCATAATTTGGCCTTTTTTGGCCAATTTATCAAAAATGGGCCTTAATTTGGCCTTTTTTGGCCAATTTATCAAAAATGGGCCTTAATTTTTCAAAATTTTTGCCCAATTTTTGGGGCCCAAAAATTTTTCCAGATTCAAAATTCGCCCCCCCCCCCCCTCCCCCTTGTTCATTTATGGATCCGCCACTGCAATATCTGCATTTTTCAGTTTTCTCAACAGATGGGTCGAGTCGCAATCCAGTGGTTGTGGCTTCCAAATCATTGACCACCGCGGGGGGATCACCGTAGGGATGGTCTGATAAAACTTTAATGGATTTACTTGCAAACGCAGATGTAGGCCATGGTCTCAAATTGAAATAATATTCTGGTGAGAAAACTGAAATAACACATGACAATAACATGAAACAAAAAAGAATAATGAAACGACCATTTGAAACAGATGATTGTCTGCGTGATGATGGCTTCCTGGAAAGTGACCGTACCACTGATCCTGATAAAGGTGATTGCTGCTCATTCTTGATCTGTGATGGAATCCTCAACAAGACTGGCTACAGAGTATCGTGTATGGGAGGAACCGTCTGGAACTATGTGCTGAAAGTGTGTGACGATCCAAAATACTTCCCTTCTTGCAATCCATCAGACTGCAACGGTAAGTTGGGTGCATTTTTGGATTAGCTGTTGGTAAACACAAAACCAGCATTTATTTTTTAGCTTGAACTAGAATTGATTATTTTGAAAATGTTAAAACTTGATTATTATGTATTGTACACGCTGTAATGATATTATGTTATTGTATATATTTTGCTGCTGATAATTAATAAAAAATTGTATGATTCATGTTTTTTGAACGTTGGACCATGTTTGACTATATATCATTTGCACATTTTGACTTTTTGGTGTAGTCATCGTGAGATATTATGGTTCCTTTCTATGAGTATCAGAATGGATGCTAGGAAACTCGACTTCGCCATCACTGCAGTTTACATTGCCTTTGATTCAGTTTTAACGCTTCATTCCGACTATGTCTATTTTGTCTATATTATTTGGCGGTCAGGAAAATCTTGACGTCAAAATATCTCCAAAATATTCCTGTCGAATATTGATGAACAACTTGAAAATCACATGCAACATGAAGAATAGTATACAGTTGGACGGCACATTGCCTTAACCCATCAGCTTTATGACGTGCACTTCCGCGTGGGACTATATCTTTACAACGGGAATTTCAAGTTTTTGTCAGTGTAGACATAAAAAGTTGCGGTCCTCTTACTCGCGCAGTTTTTAATATTTTCATTTGAAACTTGCAGGAACGGTGCTTTGAATCTAGCTCTCTACTCTTTGAAAACGTCATGTAGAATCAAAACAGTTGAACTATTTATTTTTTGTCGTGAAAATATTATTTTTTTAGTTTATTTTTATTTTAAAACTTTTTGGGAAAAAATGTAACAAATTTTTATTTCTTGTCATATATATCCGATATTTTGTCATCACGAAATTCGAGATTCCTTTTAATGATGGTGCAAATTTCATAACAATTGATGAATTTTTATTATCAGTGTTATGTTTTCCAAAAACGGTGTACCACTGTGCATGTTTCTTTAATTGACGGCACATTTGCCTTTAATTGGGCGAACGTGCAGGCCCCGACGCAATAAGCTTTATTTGATTTAATACACTCAAAAATAAAGTTTGCTATCAAATCAGAATGTTCATAAAACATAAACCTTGCCTTTGTTTTCCCAATTCTAAAAGCAGGCCAAATGAACTATGATAATCGTTTGACTCTCGAGACTACAGAACTTGAACTTGAACATATTAAAATCGAAGTTACCTATAGTTACGCTTGTAAAGTTAATTATATGTTTAACGGCGTGCTGAGTGAATGTATCTTATCAAATTTGTCACATACCCATAAGATCGTAGATCACAATTCTAAGTTTAAAATGTAATTTGGATTCGTAAGAAGTATTTCTGTTTTAAACTTACCTTTGCTGTCTGTAAAAGATCAATATTCATAGACGGGGTTGTTGAAACCTATATTTCCTTTGAATGACCTGCATTTGTACTACGAAATGATCCTGTGGAGAAAAGTTGATGAATTCCAAACAGCTAGTTCTAGCAAATCTACTAGTATAAGCTTACTTTCTTAAAGTATTTTAATGTTAAAAATATCTATTGATATGCTTCATTTTTAAAATGATCTTTTGCTTCCCTTAACTTATATGTGTGACTTAATGAAGAATGCTGTTTACCAGATCAAACTTAAGACGTAAACTTGGCAATTACTCGATACATGTTATAACGCGATTTTCTTTAATTTTCTACAAAAAATGGTATGTATTCGAACGGTCACTTATGTTAATCTATGACCATGGTATGATTGAAAATGAAAGAACTGAACCAAGTATTGTCGACTGGGTTGAATCATAAGATTTATTTTGATTGATTTTAATCTCTTCTTGAATTTTAAAACTTTTGTCCGAATTACATCTGCTATGGAATTAAAGTTCAAATATACCTCAGAATTGCTTATTGAATTAACCTAGCAATTAATCTGAAAATAATTCTTTACATAGGTTATATATCATAGATCATAGATATGTAAAAAATAAAAATGTGTTTTGAAAGATGAATTGGTAACAAACGTTTTCGTACACGTGCCATTCTTCACCTTCAGCCCATTTAAAGCACGAAATCCCGTATGACGTAATGAACCGAAGTTCAATACTGGGGCATATTTCAAATTTTGACGTTCCATGTTCTTACCATGTAAATATCGGGCAAGTTCGGAAAGCGAACATACTCATGTTACATATCAAAATCTTCATATAGGTACCCTCTAAAACCACATTTGTATATTTTACATGGAATTTTTCATTTTAGAGCATTTTAGAGCGTCCTTCGTGGGTCAAAACGTTAGAAATATGCCGTCACGCGTAACATTTTAGGAGCGCGCTATTTTTCAAAATGATGTAGAATCATTATTTTTTCATCAATTTTGATGTGACAGGTATGAATCACTTCCTGAGACAATGATCTTTATTATGACGTCATTAGTTTGAAGGTAACAATGGAATGTGACGCTGATTTTTCAACTTCAAACAAAATCCAAAGGCCGTCACGCTGGGTATTTTGACGAACCCTAGGCAAGCAAAATGCCATTTATTTTAGAATTAATTACTTTTAAAGGCTGAAATTAAAATTAGAAACAAGGTTTTGGCTAAAATTAATAAATCTGAAGATAAAATATTAAATTTCCTTCAAATTTCTTAAATATTAAATGATATGTAGGGTACGAAAAATGTCCCATTTAGTATTTTTAGCTTAAAAATGCGTAAACTTGAAATCCAGCTATCACGTGTACGCATTAAAATTAAGAAATATATCAAAATAAAAACATTTTAGAAATAGGTATTTAATATATTTTGATCGTGGAAAATTTCAAACATGTTCAAACATGATAACTTGTCAAACGGTGCGAAAGAAAAAGGTACAAAAATGTCCCATGTAGCTTTTTGACGTCTTTTCAATGAGAATTTTACAGAAAAGCGCAATTGTTCATCACTCGTGACGTTACAAAGTATGCCCCAGTATTGAACTTCGGTTCAATATAACGAAAATGCGCAGATAATTGATTTTTTTTAATTTTAATTCAACTCACATTGACCTTTCTTATTTAGAACGTGTTTTAAGTTCTCATGTTAAGAAAATAAATATTTGGAAAGGCAATGGTTTAAAGCTTATGAAAATGTCAAAATCATAATTCAGTTTTAAAATAAGATATTGACATGCATTCACGCACATGTGACATTATCTCTTTTTGTGCGATTCAAACATAAAAATCTCATTACAGTTATACATATGAACCAATCTTAGTCATGCCTTTCTAATAGAAGGAACTAAATTTGAATCAAAAAATAATTCTGTGTAAAGATGATTTCCAATAGATATAATAAATGTCAAAAATGTCAAAAAATATCAAAAATTAAATACTCACACGCTTTTAAGCACACATGACCTTTTCCAGTTTTGCTCATTTCATTTACCTTGAAAACCAAGGAGACCGAACGCAATTGCTATACAACCTTGATACGTGTACCAGGTCTATAATTGCATTTTCTCATGGAAGGAACCAAGCAAAAATTATAAAAATAATTCTACGTAGAGGTGATGCTTCACAAATAATATTAATGTCAAAAAATTGATTCATTTCTTCAAAATTAAATACTGACACGCATTTACGCACACATGACCTTTTCCAGTTTTGCTTATTTCATTTACCTTGAAAACCAAAGAGACTGGACGCAATTGCCAAATACTTCTTTGATACGCGTGCCAGGTCTATAATTGCATTTTCTCTTGGAAGGAACCAAGCAAAAATTATAAAAATAATTCTATGTTAAGGTGATGCTTCACAAATAATATTAATGTCAAAACTTTAATTCATTTCTTCAAATCCAAATACTGACACGCTTTTACGCACACGTGACCTTTTCTCCTTTTGCTCATTTTTTATCCTAAAAATCAGTGAGCCTTAATACATTGTCCAATACTTCTTTAATACATGTCGGGTCTAAAATTGCAGTTTATCATGAAAGAAATTGAACAATTATTATGAAAATAATTATGTGAAAAGGTGATGTTCTTCAGATCATATAAACATCAAAATTGTAATTCATTTATTAAAAGTTTAATATTCACATGCTTTACCGCACACATAACCCTTTCCCCTTTTGTTCATTTCATCTATCTTAAAAATCAGTGAGCTTGAACTCATTGCTAAATATTTTTTTATATGAGTCAGCTGCAGGTCTAAAATTGCATTTTATCATGGAAGAAAACGAGCAATCATTATGAAAATAATTCTGTGTAAAGGTGATGTTCCAAAGACAATATATATGTCAATTTGATAATTCAGTTACTCAAAATGAAATATCCACATACTTTTACGCACACATGATAATTTTACTGAATGACGCTACTTTTTGGATTCAACCATGCATATAACGTCGTAAAATACACATTTCTACCGAAATTATGCCCAACCGTTTTCGCAGAAAATGTAACAAATGAAGGCATTTTATCGGAACTGATTGATATTTGGTACTTATAAAATATCGTATTTACTTTAACTTTTAAGCGATTCAGACATTTAAAAAAATGATGTTTAATCAATGTTAATTTCGCAGGAATATAGGGTACAATATGAGTGAAAGTCTCACGTGTTTGATTGCATTTTACTCCCATTCATGTGCATTTCTCTAACATTAAAATGAGATAGTTCGAAAGAAGAGATCAGTAGAATTCTATCCGTCACTTTCATTTTCAAATGTTTAAATGCTTACCATTTCAATGGACCTCATAAAGATGGTAGCCAACGGACCAGAAACAAGTAGTGCGATGACGTCATATATCGCTACACCACTTTGATATAAAGTTTGGTAAACAACAATGGGTTTTTTCAATGTGCCGTCCTACTGATAAGCTGCTCTAAATTAATGATTTATTTTAGTTCCAAGCAGAACAACTGAACTTTGTGGAGCTTTGAATTCAGATCAGTGCTGTGTTCATGGTCGCCAACCGATTTACACCGCTGTCTCTGGCAGTGATTCCAAGTAAGTTTAAGACCAGAAGTATGTTCAGATGTTAGACTATTCCAGTAATTTATCCTAACAAACACTGGACAGTTTACATTGACAGGATAAAATCCCACATGCCCCATCAAGTAGCTAGACTCTATGAGGCTTCCCAAATATTCCACGGATTTCGGCAGAGTACCGTTGAGTCACATGATGTTGGCTTTTCATTGCGCTTTTGGAAAGCTGCTGGGGGCAGGGTTTTACGCCTGTATAATGATATAGGTCAGATTGTACTTGGAGTAGTCCTGTGTCGAGTTGCACAGTAAAAGTTCGCGACACTTAACAATGCAGGGGCGCCGCAAATGAGAGGTGTAAAATTTAAAAATATTTTCACGAACAATAAAACTATTTAAACATACAAAATAAAAAGGAAAGACATGTATTAGGATGAGTTCACATAAATTACAGATAGAAGTTGGACAACTGTCACAACCAAAGCCAAACCCCACAAGTGAACGGTTTGGGGCAAATGTGGGGTCATGAATGATGAGCTTTACTTCCTAGTAGCTACACAAAGAACTCAGAACACAAAGATTTTGTTTGAAACTCTAGACAATTTGAATGATAAGCTGGTAACCGAAACGGTTCGTAAATATGTACGTTTTCTTAAACATATGATACTGATACACGTTTGTGATAAAAATGTCGTGGGAATTCTGCCCACAACGTGTGAAATAAGGAAAAAAGAAAAATCATACCTTCGATGTTTCGAAATTTTGTTATCGGTAACCAGCGTAATCGAGTGGATCACCAGTGTAGTAAAAGCTCTCATGTCATATTAATGTTCATTTTTGCCGAAGTTTTTTTATAATCAATGATATTAATTTAGATTTAGCAAAAGGACCATGAGGTCAATCATATCTTTCACCATTGGTATTTTCCTGCTTTCTGGCCATAAATACAGTCGTTTTTATTAAAACAAAATGTTTTGTTTCAAGTGAAGTCCTCATGGTCTCTGAAAAAATATGAATAAGAGTCCACCTTGGCACTTTTTTAAAAAAGTTAGGCTTATTTTCTAAAAAGACAAATGTAAAGGACAGTGACAACACACATTTCTCATTCGATCTGCATAGAAATTAAGTGGTCGAACATCTTCATTGATGCGATAAACGATGCCATGTGATTATGCATGAAATTGTTGAATTTACACATTCTTCATTCTTTTGCTTATTGCAAATGTATGAAATCAGCCATTTTCTCGTGGTTTTAATTATACTATTTGGTCACTCTCATTGCTGGATCATGCTAGAAACTTAACATTTCGCCTTAAATCACTGCCCCTTAGCGGTCCCACAAGCAGTACCCCTCCAAACTACAGTAGCTTCACCACACTCTCTCTCTGAAGTATATAACAGTTGTTGGAGGTGACATGTACTGGGATATGCCATATAAGCCACACATGGTTTTCATTCATTTCTATAATTAGGATGTCATTTTTATCATAAAGGAGTGGTATCGATATGGTGAACTTTTTGAACACGCGTTTCTCGTAAACCAGTCATCAAAACATGTACATATGCTTTTCTCTATATTGAAATCACATCAGACACTTCTTTCGTTCTTGGTATCATATGTTCGGAATGAAATGAACAATCCGAACCTAATTGGAACAAAACGACAAAAACACAACGTGTTTAGGTCTATCAATAATCTGTAATTGTTCAAAGGAAAGTTTGGTTGATTTTAAAAAAGTATCTTGTTAAAGGCCCCATGTAAAGTTTAAACCACTTTGGCTTATATTGTAGTCTTACCCAATGTTATCAAAGTGTGATATGTGAAACTTTCTTTTTAAATTTCAAAAAGTGGTTTTTGATAGACTTTTTGTTCCAAAATTTGTGAATTTATTTAAAACCAACTTTTAGAGGTCACTCATATCTTCTAATTAGCCACAATTCATACCAATGCATAGCATTCATCCTCCCATGTTTTTTGCCGAAAATATTAAGAAAATCGGTTGATAAACAAGCGAGAAATGAACTTATCAGTGCATGAAAATGGTTCTGAGAAAAATGCATTTCAAAATTTTAGTTCTCATAGAAACCAATGGTACAATGATATCTAAAACATAATTTATTATTCCTTTTAACCTGGTTAGACAATCAACATTGTTTTTTTATGAAAGTCTAGCATATTTAGAAAAGATTCACATCGAAAAAAAAAATTCAATTTTTTTCAAAAAGTTTTTGTTACCTTAGTGACATCACTAATGTTTCAAAATATTTTTGATAAGCTAAAACATTGAAGTGGACATTAAATATGACATTTTATTATTGAAAGAGTGTGTCTTTTGTTCAATCTTTGCATTGGTGTTAAAAAGATAATCTTTTTTGAAATACAATAAGAAATATTTGATGATTAAGAAATTTCAACTTTTTTTGAAAAATGGCGGGAAATTTGAATATTTGAGAAATGAAATGCTCACAACTTTTTTTCAAAAATTTTTTTTTGTTCAAAAATCTCTAAAATCACTTTTTAAGTCCTGACAAATAGTGAATGAATGATAAAAAAATATTTTCAAACTTTAGACGGGGAGTTTAATGAAATAAGAGGTTTCTCTTAATTATCTATTTTGGGAGGTTTTGTTTTAAGTTTTTGCATACTTTTTGTTAAATCAACCAAATTTCTTTTGTATAACTATAATATTGAGAGATCTAAGAGAATGTTGTATTTGTTATTTTGTTCCAACAAGGTTCGGAAAGATATTCTATTTCATTCTCAAGAATTGGTAGGAAGGAACAAAAAACAATTACACTAAAAAACAAAAAATGTTAACAAAACAGTTATATAAATTATATATAAATAATGTTAGCATTAAATTGTAGCCAATCAGTCAACAATACATAATTAGGGACCGTGTTTTTTACAGAATGTTTTTAATAATTGGTTTAAGAGAAAAACATTGTTGAATTCAGTTTCACCATATCGAAACCTATCCTTTCCATTTATTTATGTCATGCGTGGGATGTCGTATATTGGTCATTTAAAACAGCGTAAATGTAATTATATCTCGTTTAATTCTATAACCATTCTGCAGTCCACGATTTAATTAATTTTTAATTGATTGTTGATTAGTTTATTAATTTAGTTAAACTCCCCCGTATATGATTTCAACCTTGTCTATAATACCTCGCTATTGCCTCGTCTATAACCCATGGGCGTTTACGAAGGCAGCTCTCAGTGGTCAATATGCCTTTGATCATTTCTAAAATAATCTAAATCCACATTCACTCTCCTTGCAGTTGCGGCCGGTATTGCAGTAATAATTGCAAAACAAAATGCTACTTTTCCTATTTATATCCATCATTCGTCTCTCGTTTTCAGCGTTTTTCAAGTCGAGACAAATGTAGTTGAATGATTGATTTCATTTCTGTTCAATATCATATACATGCACACTACATATGAACAACCAGTACACTAGGCTATATTTTAAACATTTTATATTTGCCTCAAATTCCCGTAAAAGCATAGGCTACAGGCCCGTTGCCAGGGGTGGGGGGCTTATAAAATTCTAAATTTTCTACAGAATAGCGAGGCAACTAAATGATTCGTTTGTTGTATTTAATTGGAAAGTTTATTTTTATGGATGGTGTGTGTTTTAAGTGCAAAATCTTACACTGTCTCACTGGCAGACCCCCCCCCCCCTCCGCCCTAAGTTGGGCCCCAAAAGTCAAAATTGGCGTAGCTAAATATACGCAGAACATGCAGTCGCGTTCTATTAAGAATCAAGACCAAAAGTGTAAATCGAAATTAATCATATATTTTGATACTTTAATCGCCCAGAACGCGCCAAATAAGCCTAAAAATTCTTTCTTTTTTTAATTCGTAAATCATATATTTCGATCCTCGAATCACTCAGAACGCATCAGTCCGCCTAAAAATCTTAAATTTTAAGGAGAGCATGCTGAGAATGCCCCTGAGTTTTTTTTAATAAATCATAATTTTGATGCTAGAATCGCTCAGAACGAACCAGAATCGCCAAGGACGCGCCAAAAAAGCCTAAAAATTCAATTTTTTAAAATACGTAAATCATATATTTTGATCCTAGAATCGCTCAGAAGCACCAAATCAGCCCAAAACTCCTAAATTTTTTCGGGGAGCATGAACTCTGGCTACGTCCCTCAAAAGCTATTATTTTACATGGCATGATAATTTGGCTCGAATTTTGTTTTATCTAAATCAAGTAACTAGTCATTTTTTAACAATTTGGGCACTGTATATTTTTCAAAATTTGAGCCCTAATTTTCTTCCGTTTTTTTGGGTCCCCTCCCTTCTTTTCGTGGCCATCCCTGGTGTCTTGTTAATAACACCCCTGTGGTCACAACGCGAAGTTGGTTAAGCGGATGGGGGGGGGGGGAGTTCGAGCCCCCCCCCCCACCCCTAACCAAAACCTGGCTACGGGCATGGGCTAAACCACACGGGTAAAATTGTGATCCTAGGTACATCGTAGCAGGGGAACGGAAAGAGAACCAATGTCCACAGGGTGAAGTGTTTAACTTAGAAGATTGTTGCTGTGAATCTATCGGTAAGTGTTGGCAAATGGTCGATTACGTCATTTTTCTTTTTCCATGTCGCTGTAGACCAAGTCACATTTACTGGTATCTATTACTGACTGTTATATGTCCAGCAGCTTTAAAGAAGTAAGTACAGTAGTAACACATATCTCGACGCTTTTTTTGAATGCCAGTATTAAAACATTAAAAACTAGCCATTCGATTATCATTCATGTCAGTGTAGATGTCAACCAATCCATATCATCTTTAATTAACTGTTGAAATTTTCGAATGTTTGACAGAGCCAAGAATCCCGTTATGCTCAGATGAGACTGACAACTACCATCGAGTACCCGGATCTGACGCTGATGTTCCCTCTGAGGATTACTGTTGTTACTATGCACAGTGTTTCGCCAATGGCACCGGGTAGCCACCGCTATTTTCATGGTTTCAATTCAAACCCAATCTGAAAAATATCATTATTGATTGGGTCTTATGAACATCTATATTAAAGGATGTCCTCAATTTTAAAACATCATCTAACTAAAGCGACTTATAAATAATGTTACAATATTAGCATCGGAAAATAGAGGTCATAGTCTATCAAGTCAAAAAACCATGACTCGGGTACGTCATTCCGATTGTAAAACGGATAAACGATTATGGAACTTAGATAAGTCAGAATAAAAAGTAACTTACCTACCAACCGAACATATGATTTTTACCGCAAGATTTACAGGGAAGAATCTATATTTGAACCACTTTAAAAAGCGATTTTGTTATTTCAGGTATGATAAGGTAAAATGTATGCCACCAAGTGTTTGGAACAACGATCCTGATGTTAAATCTTGCGACCTTCCAGTAAATGTACCAGAATGCATGCAATTCTTTTGCGGTGCTGAAACAACTGATCCTCCTTGTGAGGGAGTCTCGGGGCCCGGAGGGAGTTGCTGTCAGGCAGGGGTCTGGTATGGTGCTGTCCCTGGTTCAGATGGACAACAGTATATGATAACTCAACTTCCAGATGGTTCTGACTGGTCCTTAGACACAAGCAGAGTCCTGTGTTGTTCTGAAGATTTTGAGGGCAACCAGTTGATTTTCAATGATGATCCGGACTCGTGTTGTTGTGAATTACCAACTGTACCATAATGTTATCACCAATCTTGGAAGAATAAGAAATAAAACATAACACATTGTAACATGTAACGGGAATTAAACGTTGATAAAAATAATGTTCATGGCTTCAGTCCCTAATAGTAAACATAAAATATGTGTAGATGAAACATCTCCCAAGTTTATTTCATCTTTCTAGTTACATTTTGCATAATCTTTTATTTCATCTGAGCACTGTTATATATTATCTGTATCTCAAAATTGTTCCTAATCAAGCTAAAGTAGTTCCTCCTTTTTAAACTGCGGTTGTCTGACAGCTCATCAACTACACCCTTGGTATACGCAGCTAACGAAAATTGACCGGTACGGGTCAAAAGCTGGACCGGTACGGGTTAACGGTTTTATTTGAATTTAAATCCCACTTGGGTAGCAACACAATAGAATTTGCTGTGGTTTATTTTTAAGAATGTATGGTTTTATCAAAAGGAAAGTGCATTATTTTTCTATTGTTTTTAAAGAATGTACACTTGGCAAGCTATCAAAAACAAGTGAGACATAAATGACCATTGACAGTTTTTGATAGTTTTCATTCCCTAAAAACAATATACAAAAATACATGTACCCTTCTCTTGTTACTGTGCATTCTTTAGAATAAAACAATTTATCAATTTTTGTTGCTATCTACATCATTGATCTTTTCTTACTTACAAATATTCTGCTGTATTCAAATTCAATGTTCTGGACTGGACAGTCACCTGTAGTGCACTGACAGCTAGACTAATTATAGCCCACTCAGTCACTTACATCAACTCACACTCATGAGGTCAATGCAACCAACTCTTTTTGTTGTTACAATTAATTGGCTATATAACAACAAATTTTAACCAATAAGAGCCAGGGTCATTGTAAGCCAGGTTGAAGTTAGCAAAATTCACAGTTTGAATAGTCAACACAAAAGAAATACATTTTTCCAGATTAGATCATTGACCATTTACCTGCAATATACCATTTACCTGTAATAAGAATGTGTGTGATTTAAGTAAGATAAAGCATTCGAATTCGATTTGATAAGAAATAATAACCTCAGGCCTTCGGCCTTCGGTGTATTATTTCTTATAAAATCTCATTCTTATGCTTTATCCAGTACTTAAAATAGCCATTACTTGCTCAATATTGACTTCCTCGTGTCTAATTTGAAATATATGATGCCTCCCGATGCTTTTAAGTACCCCAATTTTTTACAGATTTTTAAACGGACCAAAACTCTCTAAATGCGCATTTATGCTCTTTTCTCTCGAGAACGACTGTCTCATTTTCACGATAACTTTTATTTAGTACTTCTAACATATAAGATCTATTTTTCCCCATCAAGGTATGATGTAAATGACATGCTATTTACATCTTGTGAGTTTCAATGACGCGCGTTTGATTTTATAAAAAATGCCAAACTTTGTGACAAAGAATTTCATCTTGCTTGCAGCGAGAAGACGGACCGGTTCGGGGCAATCTCCTTGCAGCGAGAAGACGGACCGGTTCGGGGCAATAGCTGATGAAATTCTTTGTCACAAAGTTTGGCATTTTTTATAAAATCAAACGCGCGTCATTGAAACTCACAAGATGTAAATAGCATGTCATTTACATCATACCTTGATGGGGAAAAATAGATCTTATATGTTAGAAGTACTAAATAAAAGTTATCGTGAAAATGAGACAGTCGTTCTCGAGAGAAAAGAGCATAAATGCGCATTTAGAGAGTTTTGGTCCGTTTAAAAATCTGTAAAAAATTGGGGTACTTAAAAGCATCGGGAGGCATCATATATTTCAAATTAGACACGAGGAAGTCAATATTGAGCAAGTTATGGCTGTTTTAAATTCAAATAAAACCGTTAACCCGTACCGGTCCAGCTTTTGACCCGTACCGGTCAATTTTCGTTAGCTGCGTATACCAAGGGTGCAACTATATTAGTTTAAACAAAGATATTCCTATGAAAACTCTCTGTCATTCCTAATGAAGCTAAAAGCTAATCTTCAATGTGGAACTAAATGTCCATGATCGCAAATATTTTCCTAAGAAAGCTATGTGTCATCCTTTAAAAAGCTAAAGCTATTTTCTTCAAAATCACATCTTCATGTCCTAAGAAGCATGTATGATTTTTTTAAAAGCTAAAAGCTATCTTGTTATTTAAAAGTAATACATCAGTATACATATAGTTCTTGGAGTTCTTGGAATAAGGGCGGATCTCAATTTGAACAGGTTGATCTGATAGGATAGAGATTTTGGGGGAAAGTATATAACTTATTGGGCACTACCCTTGCCTGTCCTGTAACCACGTGTCTGCATTGGTAAATAAAGGAATGTATACAGTGATCACTTTAATGGCTGCAGTGGGGGGGGGGGTGTAAATATAATCTATCGTTGTGGTCAGAAATAAATGTTTCTTCAGGAACTGTCTATACACATCAGATAAAAGTAAATTACAACATCTAATTACATTTACATGATTATTACTACACCCATCATAAAGTATTCTTTGTCCGTGGGTGGGATGATGACGATATAGAATTTATATGACAAAGGGCTATAATGGTCAGAGCATTGAATTCAAATCTGAATGCAATGATTTATGAACTGAGAATTTCAAAGAATTTATGGAACCAACACTTGTATTTGACTCCACTAAAATAGTAGTATGACGTCCATGGACCTGGGGATAATTCGGGAAACACGGGCTAATCTCATCTTTAAGCGTTAATATCTGCCTTATAATGGCGTAGAATAATGGAAATAACGTCACAACGCATGCGCATAAATCGACATTTCATGGTCCAAGGAGGATTGGCTCCCAGAGTGCACCACCGATATTCTGTCCCATATATGGGTATGTCGTAATACAAAATTCGAATTCAAACAGCCGCCATTTTGTTCACTTCAACATTTAAATCGTGAATTTTGGTCTTATTTCCAAACGAAAAATTCCAAAACTCACAAGAAATGATCGAGATATTGGTTCGAATCTTTTGAACTGTTTATTTTGAATTTATAGTCGGTTTTAATTTCAGAAAATAACGACATTTCGACGTTTTCATTGTTGGAAAATATCGAGTTTCGATCCTGGGAGCCAATCCTCCTTGTCATGGTCCAAAGATTTCAATGGAGAGCAGTCTTCATCAAAATTTAAAATCTTAATAACTTTTTAGCAAATCATTAATTTTCTTAGGATTCAACGGATCCTTGTTACACCCAACAAAGTGTTGTTTTGATATATAAATCAGCAAAATCCATCCATAGATCTTTCGGCCTTTTAATGATTTAATTTTCGGTATATTTTGCGAAAATCCCCCATTGGCCGCCATTATAAACTTTGAAAAAACTCAAATCCTCATCACTTCATATCATTCGTTAAGTGATCAAAACAACTCCAATCGCTTAGGATTCAACGGATTCTAAGAGATCAAAGCTAATACAATACTGTATGTTGACAACCCCCGTTTCAATATTTGCCGCATAATCTTTCGGCCTTTTAGGTTATAAATTTGTCAATATTTTGATTTTCGACCATTAATGACGTACTTGGATCCGAGATTCATTATCCCGGTGCGAAAGAAATTATGGTCCCTCGGGGATTATGGTCCCCCTTCTTAACGGCCCTTACTGGCCCTGATTGCGAATAAGACAATGAGGGAAAGAGTTGTATTTAGGTCACCATATAAATCAATGGAGAGTAGGACCATAATTTGATAAGACCTTTTACACCAGGATTCATGACGCTATTCGCAATTCACTGAAATTATTTTTCCTTGAAAAGTTTGAAAGGAATTATAACGATGATTCTGAATTGAACTATTCGTTCGCAAATGCTTAGATTTTCTCAAAAACATGATGCAGACATACCCACGTGAGCTTTGTTTACAAATACGTTCATAAAAGCGCGCGCATCTTCTCTCACGACGTTCATTGGTCTATTGATAAATACGTCACTTCCGCCAGCTGTTTTTATGTTAGTGTCATGCGCAAGTGTTACGAGATTATTTCAAGTAAATAAGCGTATTTCTCATAAGATTGTTGAGTGTATCACCTCATTTCCAATATGACTTCGCCCTCTTCGTACAGATTGCCGAAGGAGGAGAGCGTGAGACTGAGGCGTTCGTTGATAGGGTGAGTGCTAATCGATGGCATGGGCATTCAATAAAGCCCATGACGATGGCGATTTTTTGGGCTGTGGAATTCTTCAGGTCTAGAATCATTTTCAGTGTATTGGTGAAAAAAAGCAGTAGGAAACATAATAAGGTTGATCTTCTATATTGAACTTTTAATACTTCTTTTCCATGTTTGTTTGTTTATTTGTATCCTTTTGTGCGCTATAATGCCGCTAAATGGTCTCGTGTTTTCACCTGTGCTTACACTTGTGCTTCTCACTTGTGCTTATGAAAATATTCAGACTGAATTCTCAGGATATTCACTCTATTGGATATCAGTCAGGGGTAATCCACTCTAGTGTCGCCTGGTATGCGAACTGTAAGTGTCGCAAATAATGATGTACACAGACGAGCCTAGATGCGTAGCATGCTAACACGACAGACAATTGTCTAGTCCAACAACATTAGACCTAGCCCGGGCCTCGTTTCTTATCTGACATGTGTTATGGCCCGGCTAGGTCTAACCTCCATGACCATTTTGCCTTTGATGCGTTAATTTAATCGTTTAGCAGGTTTCGACAAGCGGAACTAATAATAATTATCAATCTATTTGACAACAATTTCGTTTCGCTGGTTGTTTAATTTTACGATCCGGGACACTCAGACGAACAGACACAATGACGGACATGCGGAAATGTCACTTTAGAGATTGGTAAGTGTAGCCTCATTTTACTCGTATAAATGAACATTTAACACAATAATATTGTGTTAAATCGCTTGATGTTATGTGTTTTTATATTATTGTCAAGTATCAGTTGCACGTTATCGCGGAAAAATGGTTTCGATGGATTCAGAACTTGCATCAAAGGAAAGAATAGTAAGGAGGTTAAACTCAATAATGGCCCCAAGAAAATTCCTAATAATAAAGAACGCCGTTATTGAGTTTAACGACGTTGAACTAACAATTGTCAAGTGTTGTCGCGATTAATCGATGCATCGCGATATACATTGCCAAAGCTGATTCTGGCGATGCATCGATGTCTGAAACAAAACATCCATGTTTTTAAAAAAATTTAAATTTGCTAAAATTCACCCTTTCTTATCTTATTTTGAAGCAAATCGCTTACCTCTCTCATGTCTTATTTCATTTTCCAACGGCAAATAACGTTTCAATTTATGCGGACGTAAATTTTCCAGATTTGTTTAATATCTAGTAGAAATCGCCATCATAGAAAACAATCATAAACAAATCTGGAAGATTTACGTACGCGTAAATTGAAACGTTATTTGGTCACCCGGCTACCCGGTTACCTGGTCACCCGGTTTTTATTCTTTCCTTCAGATTCAAGCTCCTGCGCATCCCCCTCGAAAAAAAACAACACATTCAGTATCCTAAAACATCATTCTACCACTCGCCACTATGCATATTACAAAATTCATTTTGAAAAATGTAGAAATAAGCTGAAAAACTCACGAGTTGACAATCCGCTGTCGGGAGCCATTTATTTATTTTGTTGTGCTAATTAAATATGCGAGCATGCGCAGATATAATGTAGAAATGAGGGAGTGATCATTTTGTTTCTAATTCCGCTAATACAGTGAAAATAAGATTTTTTTGCAAAAAATGCGTCGCACAGCTGTCGTTTTTCAAAGCGACACTAGAGTGGATTACTGTTGACTTGATATAGGGTTCCATAGAAGTGGTGCGTGCACCAGCATATTTCTTTCCTCAATAGATTTTATATACCACCAGAAATGTTATCACAATGGCATATAAGACGCAGCTGTCTCAAATTGAAGTAAGGGTTTGTGTATAAAACCGGGCACCTAAAGTTCTTAGCAAGGTTACCAACTTTCAAAGTTCCACATTTTCCCTGATATAAAGTAGCAGATTGACTTGACAGACTTAGCCTACCGAGTGCACTGCTGTTCGATATTTTTCACCGTATAAGAGACAGAGCACTTTTTAAAATAATCGATCCAGCAAACAGTGACGTCCATGTCACGTTGCTCATAAGTTGCATATAAGTTCCTAGAAGATGTTGCACATTTTTGTTCATATAAACATTGAGGCAACGTAAACATGAGACATTTAATAAATCGTCTATTGATGATTTTTTACCACATTGGTTCATATACGATGTAATTCAAACGTTAAAATTCAACGTTGTCGAAACTGGCTTTTAATATCAAAATACTTTTGCGGACCCAGTTTTGTAACTGTTCTTTTTATTTCTTTTTATATCAGTAGCTCAGTAAATATTTTGAGCCATTGACGCTACTACAATGATCTGACTTACCCTCATAGGCTGGCTGGCTAACTAATTCATTATTTCCCGATGTTTTTGCGATTTACAACCATAATACACTGATACAAATATTAAATACATTCTTACCCTGCTAAAGCATGACGGTTATGCCACCTCTGAAAACAAGGTTGGACCTTATTATTTACAATATACACCATGTTCCTGTTCTGGATTTGTCATTTTATGGCTTGTTTATACACAGTTTACTTACAGTTGATAGTTTGAGTGCCTCTGAGGCACATATACTGAGAAAACACGAGAATGGACTAAAATTATGAGCTTGGATATTTAAATTGGTAAGTTTACAGCTTATATTCTGCTTCTAGTAAACCACCTGGCAGATTTAACCCAGTCTTTATAACCATCTATATATAGGTCACAGTATGGAACTAGTTGAAAAGGAAATCTTATCTGTGAATCTTGCCTACAGGCGAGAAAGAGGACATGCCATCTTTCCCATCCGCCATTTTTATTTGTTATTGTTACCGCAAAATTTTGCAAATCGCCTTGCTTATGACATGATTCTGTTTACGAAATGAATTGTCTCTGATAAAACTGCACTGAACTGTGATAAAACCTGTTTTGGAAAATATTGTGTGGAACATTGTGTACGTGACTGGAAGCTGGCTATTCCCCCGATAATGGTATTTTAAACAACAAACGCTCTTTAAACTAACTTTATATTGTATATGTTTTATTGTTTATAACACAGCATGTAGTTTTGAAACAAACAAATGTATTCAAATACGACTTTTAAGATTTTCTTCACGTTTGTTTTATAATTGCATATAACACTTGAATAAAATAAACAAAACACAAATAGAAATAATGCATACCAGTAGATTTTTTCTTCATTTGTTCCATTAATTCATCCACATTACTCAGGAAAATACACAGTTTTAAATTCATGATTTTACATTCAGGCAAATAAAGGTGAAATCACTATGCTTGCAAATTTAGCATGTTTTACAGTATTTAGCAGACCCAAAGACTTTTGGTCGGATCTCTATTAAAGTGGGGTGCAAAAATAAATCTCAACCGTCAAAAGTTGTCACAATGAGCTAAATTCTAAGTTTCGTGTCTCAAACTCTCCCAAGCGGTTGAAAAATAATTCCCATTGACTTCAAGTAGCACAATAAATGAATCTAAAGCTTCATACCTGCAAATGATGGATAAATCCCTACCAAATCGAACAAATGTTTTCATGAATTGCCATGTTTGTGATCCGAGGAGGATTGACTCCCAGAATGCAACATCAGGTAACCTTATTTACTCGTGACAGATTTCAAAATGGCGGAACAGCATTTTGAAAGCTGACACGTGTCATGTTGCATTCTGGGAGCCAATCCACATTGCCGCGTAATCCGGCTCCAAAATCACCTCAACATTTGAAGAGTCGGCATTAACATTGAATTCCACTTCAAATTTTTAAGTTCTTATTTGAATTATTATGGACACGAATTCCACTATATTTGGACTTACTAGGACGGAGAAAATAGAGCACTGAATACACTGAGGTAAGAATTTATTACATGTGCGACAGAATGTAATTTCCATAGCTTTTGTAATTCTTTATGGTGAGCACTTTAGTATTGTCTTTACTCTAGCCTTTATGTAAAATTTAACGTTGTCAAAACGTTTTTTCGATGTGAAATAACCTCAAAACATGACTTCCATAATGAAGTTCATGTACCGTATTGATCCGACGATGGTATAAAAAGAATGTTGCAGTAACGTGTTCATAAAGTTTGTTAGTGTAGAAAACATAACAGGGACATTTCATTTTTACCACATTGGGTACTTTTCGACGTAACATAAATGTTTAATTTCAACATTGTGGAAATATTTGTAAGTTAAGGAAACGTTACAAAGACGTTAATATGTTCTCACTAAATCAGTTCATTACCGTCGTTATTTTAACATTAAAAGTTAATGTTGTCAAAATATTATTACGGTTTAAAATAACCTGAAAACGTGACGTTGAAAATATTGTACATGTTTTGTCTGTTATGAATAAATAAAATGTATAACCCTGCTAGGAACGTTAGGTACCCGGTCACTCGTTTTTTACAAACACCCAAGAAGGAATATATACCACAGGAACTTGAAGTACTGTAATACTTTATGAGTTGCTTATGTCAGATCTGAGTCAATATGTATGATAAGAAGGACGATAACGCTTCACCATTTTGGAACTGGAAATAAAAAAAGATATGAATTATTGGTCCGAATTTTATAATTAGGGTCTCTAAATCTTTCATCTGTAAAATAAATGTCACTGCATAACATGTAGACAACATTAACTAAGGAATTATTGTTGTGTCTGATACCCATACTCCTGATTTGCTCGTGATAATCTGCAATCTACATTGGCAATATGTAAGCCTGTAGCAAATTGTGAATATTCTAAACCCAAGATACTCACTCATTGGCATACAGATGATATTTTGCTATTCAATATGGTGACTAATTATGCCTTTGCACATGTGTGATGCGACATCATTTAATTATCAAAGACAGAAATAGAACAATATATGTGATGCTTTGAAATAAATTTTGATTCTTCTTCAACCAATCTGTTACACAATCTTTTCTCTAGAAATCTGACTTTTTATTTTAGAATAAATGTTTTTTTTAGGAAAAATGTGCAGTTATTTTACAAACATGAACCTCTGAAGATAGTAAGGGCACATGGCCAGTATATGTATGATGAACAGGGCACTGAGTATTTGGACTGTCTCAACAATGTTGCACATGGTAAGATAGAATAGCTGCCATAATGATTAATGATTATTCTAAAATTTACTATCAGTAAATTGCATGGACTTGAATGGGCAAAGCTAGTTCAAGTCAATTTTCATTATTTCCAAGATTTTGAAAATGAGATTCAGCACACAAGTTCTATCTTTGGATTAAATATTGATACATGAACATTGATCGTTGAATGGTATTACCTTTATTTATTTATTTATTTCAAAATTGAATTTAAGATGAAATATGGTTTTATGTCGGGAAATTCTAACATTTTTTATATTCTTGTTGATATATTTATTAATATGCACTGCCCACATGTATTAATACCTCAGGAACCTTTCACAGTTTGAATTACATTACAGTTGAACCTGTTTATGTGAAGACCTCTTGAAAGGGAACATGATACAAGGCCAATACAATAATGATGATATAGACTGTATAATAATGATAATGTGTTGGCATTGTCTATTTATTACATATTATGTTGTCTCATTTGTTGTCATTTACATTATAATTTACATTTTTCAGTTGGTCACTGCCATCCCCATGTAGTTGCAGCAGGTAGCCACCAGATGTCACTCCTGTGCACAAATAACAGATTTCTACACGACAACATCCTTCTTGTCTCTCAAAAGTTGCGAGAAACGCTTCCTAAGGAACTTTGTGTCTTTTATTTTGTGAATTCTGGGTAAGTTTATTTTTTTATTGATTGTTGAAGGGTGACTATGCAGAGTCTGAAACTCTATATGTGTGAATTACAAATACCAGTGCTCTCCAAAAATTTAAATCTCTGAGAGGCGCTCAGGCACAGCCCCTCCATGTATTTTATAAAACCAAAATGCTCCTCAATGCAATCAGATGTGCCCCCTAAAATGTTACAATAAAGAACAGGCCGTCCAACTGTCCCACAATTTGCGTATTTGTCAAGCATATGCTGGAAAATTTGAAGTCACACCAGTTTTTTTTGCGTGACAGAATACCGGTGATAATAGGGTAAAACATGAATTTCCACAAATTTGAGGTGTTCAAAATTTGGCAAGATGTAATAAAATTTAAACCAAGGTGTTCAAAATTTAAATCAAGGTGTTCAGATTTGGACCAAGGTGTCCAAATTTTGAGGGGAGGTGTTCAACATTTCCAAGTCACTCATGTTAGGTGTTCCCAAGTTGACAGGCCTGTGTTTTAGTAGCTTAATTGACATATATGGTGACCACACGGAATTTGAGATAAATTAACCTGGAGAAAGCTTCCACTACAACCTCATGAAATGGCATGATATAATGAGCTTGATTTGGCGATCCAGGAGAGCCCAAAATTGAGGATTTTTGAGATCTTTCGTCCCAGCTCATATTTCATCTAATTTGGGTTATAAAACCTGTGTACATGTACCTGTGCTAATATCTGCTGTTAAATACAATGCCTATTTGCATTGACATTAGGTAAATGCTTCAGGCCGTCCAACTGTCCCGCAATTTGCGTATTTGTCACGCATTTGCTGGAAAATTTGAAGTCTTGCCAGTTTTTTTTGCGTGACTGAATAATGTCACGCAAATATGCATTTTACCTGATTACTGTCCAGCAAAAACATTAATGTAGAAAAACTTCATAAAATGATAGCCAATACAGCACCAAACCGAATGCCGAAAATAAACAAACACATTTTGTTCAGACTTTTCACGCGGATACCTTATATGTCACGCATTTCCCTGAAATATTTCATTTCTCTTCCCATCTGATGTGCTCAGATCACGGAATATGCATCATAATTTCAGAGCATGTTTGAGGTGAAAAAGAAAGATGCTCTGAGTATAAGAATTACACAACCTTGGATTATAGAGACTTTAGGAATTAGTATTAAAAAAGGGAAATGTCAATAAAAATATTAATTAACATTACAGAAGTGTGCTAGTTACAAAGTTGATATTGATTAGTGCAAGGGATAATGCTTAACTTTTTTTGTCTAAAATCTTTTGACAGGGAAAAATTGTTTTTTTTCATGAATTATATTCTAAAAATATTTTCAAATGAGACTAGGCCTCGTGGAGTCCTATTACATGTATATTTGAACACAGCCCTGGTGTCAGCTGTTATAACATTGAAGTGATTTTGCATTTATCTTAACTTTACATGTACAAACCAGTTTATCTTAATAAGGTGTCAAATTCTGTGAGATAAAAATAACTCAAGTTTAATTTCAACATGATGCCTTATCTGTCAGCTAATGTAGGTCAGTTCTTTCAATAAAGGCCCAAACAAAAGTTTAGATTTTTAGTTCATCAAATACTAAAAAAACATTATTTTCCCTACTCTATTAAATCAATGAGGTAAAAGTTATATTATTTCAAGCATACAATCTATGATTCTATACATATATAAACAGGGTTCTCACCAGGCTTTTAGACTACGGAGAGTCTAATGTCTTTAGACCCTCTTGCTCCAGTGTCTAATAGGTTTTCCGGAGTCTAAAGTGTTTTTTCCGGGGTCTAAAGCCCAGTGAGCCCAATGAGGCAAAATCCCACTTGCCCCATTGAGTCCCACAGAGTCACATGGGACATTAATGACTTTGCCCCATCGTGCCCCATCGAGTCCCATCAAATCCCACCGTGCCGCATAGGTATATGTTGGGCTTCACACAACACGTTGTATGATTGTTCATTCTCGATGGGGCAAGATGGGACTTACGGGATCTTGCCCCATCAAATCCCACCATGTCCCACGTGGGACCGCGATGGTGCAAGATGGGGCAAAATCTGACAGAGTCTCATGGAGTCCCACAGACTTCATGGGGCCATTAGTCCCCAAAAGAAAGAAAACATATTGTTTTAATAAAAATATTTATGACCAGAAAGTACTCGTGGTGAATGGTACTTTGTTAGTAGATTTGAAATATGATATCACTTCGACTACATGTAAATTCTGAATGTGTAATGATGAAGATTAAGATAGTTTCCTCAGGCTTTGGGGATCATTGCTGTGAATGAAAGTTGCAGAGGGAATCACCTCAATAGAATAGAATATTTGTATCGATTTAAACATATATGATAAGCCACTTTGCCATTGATATTTCAGAATGTAATAAATGCTACTTCTTTCAGCAATTAACTGATAAAAGGGAACTTCAGTTTGGTAAAATACCATTATTCTAAAAATGACTCATTGTCGGGTTTGAACAGGAGATAAGTTCACAGAATATTTCAAAAATATATAGAAGCAATCTTTAGGTGGATTTCAAAACTTCATACCATCCTGAAGTGGCACCAAGCAATCCATTGACTGTTTCACCTAAAATCCAAGATGGCCGCCAGAATGTATCGACAAATCACTAGAATTGACTAATATCATCATTTAATTTGTCAAAATAGTTAAATACTGATCAAACATGACTAATAATAGTACCTATTAGATAGTCATATGCATTTAAAGTCACTAGATAATTTTTGTGTGAAAACTTGAGTCCCATAAGGCTCAACTTTATGTCCCCTCCTTTTTTAGTCGAATGACTTTCGTTGACCATGCATTTGTTACATTCATGCAATGTATAGAAATCCATTTTTGTAACATGTGCACCTAGGACAACATTTCACCTTACACCCACACTTGACCAATGCTTGGTATGCCTTAGCTGCTGGAGGAAGGGCTGTATACATTGTATAGTGGCATCAGGAGGGACATGACATACTGCCAGCCACATGTTGTGAACTCAATAACCATTTTTTTTATTCATAGAATTTATTTAACAAATACATAAAGTACATTATACACTTGTAGTGGCTTTGCTGAAGGCATTATCAGCCAGATAATTGCAGGGTGAAGAAAAAAGAAAAATTTAAATATGGACTCAAGAGTGAAGTAAGTGGTGGCAGGGAAACCTACACATTTGCACATTTTTCTAAAAATGATGCAGTGAGCTTGAGAATTTTCAAATTAGTGGATTTAGTTAAGTTTGAATCCCCATAAAGAAATAATTCTACTTTGTCCCTCTTGTGTTTGAATTGAGAATAACCAAAATTAAGAAAAGCTAAATTGTTTTCCAACTCTTCTAAGAATGGAGCATGGAGAATACAGGAAAAAATTACATGAATTGTTGTTTCATTTGCATGGCCACAAGAACAATTAAGTCACAACGAACCTTGTTAGGTATAATTTCTTGATTTCTTGAAATATCAAGTTCAGAGGATCGAATAATTGAATTAGACAACTCTTTCTTTGCCCTTGACTTAAATATACTTAAATTTTCAGCTTCTATGAGGGGCTTTGAAAGGGTATTCCAATCTATACCATTTTGGTTATGGCACCAAACTATACTGCCTTGGTTAGCAAGTTAAGATTTTCTGTGCAAGGGCTCCTTTTGTTGGTTGTATTTTGTCAATGACTATGACCGTTACAGAACATTAGCCTTCATGCTGCATTGATCTATCTGGTTGCTGGTTCGATCATATAATATTAAAATGTTCCAGGGACTCTATGGCTTGAACTGACAAAGGCAGGTTTGTTGTAACCATTTGTACCACTTGAAGAAAAGCCGGAGTAATTTCTTTTAACACATTCCAATCCATTTAACTTGAAGGGCAGATTCTTTGCTATGGCCAAAGAATGGTGCAGTTATATAATATAATTTAATACCTGTAATTTTTGAGAGGTCTGAAGGCAATCCAGATTGACACCAATTGTGCCCAAATGCTGCAGCCATGGCAAGAAAAAGGACACCAGTATCTCCACTTCTGATTATGAAGTATTTTTTTACCCTCTGAGGTCATCTGTTTTATATGAACAAAGAGCCTAGTGTCAGCCTTTTCATGAGTACAAGATTCAATCATTGCTGTATCTGACAATTGAGAAAAGCACTGAAGAGATTCCCATTATAGTAGTTATCATTTGCTTTTCATTAACATCAACCTCAGACTTACTCACTTCGAGAGCCATGTTAGATTTTGAAACTTATGGCTCTGAAACTGGGAAATGGACAGCTGAATAATAGTGACCTTTTAAACACGAATTAAGTCGATCAGCTGCCTACTTTTGTTCTCTGACTATGTTATACATCATTATCATCCTTCTGTGCAAGTATTGGAGCGCTGAAGTACTTCCTTTTCGATCAAGACTTGTAATTGTTAGTCGAATGAATGTTTTTACTGCCAAATTCCAATGTGGCTTTTTCTGCTCAGACATTTCCTTGAATCTCGGGAGGTTGACCGAACCTAATCATTCTCAAAATGCATTTCGTTCGTTGCGTATCTTGCTCCTGGCAAACCGCCATATTGGAAATGGGTCGAAAAAACATTCACTCGATGAACAATTTACAAGTCTTGATCGAAAAAGAAGTATTTCAGCGATCCAATACTTGCACGGATTGATGATACTGATGTAAGACACAGTTAGAGACCAAAAGTAAGCCGCTGAAATCTTTATTCATATATTACTAAGCTGTCCAAGTGCGCCGTGGGAAAGCTATTGTATCAAAATCTACATAGCTTTCACAGGAAGTAACCTCAGACATAAAGTTGGCCAGGAATGCAAACCGCCTAGTCTGGTTCTCTTGGTTGTAGCTGGCCAATTCTTTGGCATTTATGCATCTCTGCATAAATCATCCTTCTAGCACCAGTGCCACGATAAATCCTTGTTAGGGACTTCTCACTATAACATCTTATCTTAAAACACGTTCAATATGCTGCCTTAACTTGGGATGCGACATTGGTACCATATTCTTGGAAGTTGGTAGCCACACCAGGATGCATCACATGGACCAGAAGGGTGCCATCTATTAAAACTGCATCTGCAGGTGGCTTTTCCAATACTTTGGGTCCATCTGGCATAGTTTCTAGGCATTTAAGTAGGTCATTTTGTTGTAGGTCTCATGGCTCTATGATTAGCTAGGGATGGCGGGAACTCATGGTTTTCAGGTTTGAAAAACTCAGACATATTATGTGTCGATCTTGATTGTCAAAGGCAAGAAATATAGAGCATCAGTTCCTTGACCTCAGAAATCTCTGCAGATGATTCTTTGTTTTTTTCTCCCTAGACCGCACCAACTATGCATGCAAGTGAATCCAGAAGTCAAGGAACTGAGAAATAACAATTAATATGAAATTAATTGGTTTTATATGTGTTTTATGGGAGTTAGTCATATCCTAAAAAAAGGTAACCCTACATCTGGGGTATGATTAGATGTAAACAAACTTTGGTTTCCAGGAAGTAAAATGTAGGTCAATGCACTGCACATGTGCAGAACTCATTTCTCATCAATTTTTCTTACAAGCTAGAAGGTCAGTGTACAATCTGATTGAATCCTGTAAGTATTTGCCCGCCAATCCCGCCCCCAAAACCCATGAATTATCTCCCAACTAAATTGTAAGATATATTGTTAGCTAAGGTAAGCAACTAAAGTAATCACCATTATTTTGGTCAGATGCACTGTTTATGTTTTTGAGAGATAATATAGCTAATTAAAACAAAATTAAATATGTAACAGAAATGACTATACTCCCTAAAAACCCACATGGACAAAAATACAGATAAATAATTATGACGTTTTTGCTATTACTCTACATTGCATGCCAATCAAGACACAATGACATGTCTGAGTTTTTCAAATATGAAAACCATGAGTTCCCACCATCCCTACCTTAAAGCACGGAGCCATAAAACCTACAACAAAAGCAGACTTACTTAAATGTCAAGAAGCTAAGCCAGATGGATCTGAAGTATTGGAAAACCCACCTGCAGATGCAATTTTAATAGATGGCACCCTTCTGGTCCATGTGATGCATCCTGGTGTGCCTACCAACTTCCAAGAATATGGTACCAATGTCTCATCCCAAGTTAAGGCAGCATATTGAACGTGTTTTAAGATAAGATGTTATCTAGGATATCTACCTCTAAAACAGGAGGAAGACGATGACATTAAGGATTCATTGTGGCAATGGATAGTTTATGCAGAGAATGTGATGCCCTAGAATTGGTTAGGCTTTATAAGAAACAACCAGAACAAGACTGATCTGTTAGCATTCCTGGCCAACTCTCTTTTTAAGGTTGATGTTTATGACTATTGTAGGATCTGTTTAGTGATTTCCTCAGTTGCCAGTTACAGCAATGATGGAACCTTGTACTCAGTGGAGATGCTGATGTCCTTTTTCTTACCATGGCTGCAGCATTAGGGTGCAATATGTGTCAATCTGGATTGCCTTCTGACCTCTCAAAAATTACAGGGATTGAATTATATTATATAACTGCACCATTCTTTGGCCATAGCAAAGAATCTGCCCTTCAAGCTATGGAATGTGTTCAAGGAAGTTACTCTAGCTTTTCTACAAATAGCACAAATGGGTACAACAAACCTGCCTTTGTCAGTTCAGGCCATTCAGTGCCTAGAACGTTTTACTATTCTGATCAAACCAGCAACCAGATAGATATCAATGCAGCACGAAGGCAAATGTTCTGTGATGGCCATACAGTCATTGATAGAATGCCACCAACAAAAGGAGCCCTTGCACAGAAAAATTTAAGAACTTGCTAAGCCTGGTGGTAGTCTGTGGTATTGTTTGGGGCCAACTGTACAATCTCAATCCAACATGGGTATCATAACATGGGGCTGGCAGTATGACATGTCCCTCCTTCTGCCACTATATGCAGCCCTTCCTCAAGCAGCATGCGAAGCATTGGTCAAGTGTGGGTGCAAGGTGAAATGTTGTCTTAGGTGCACATGTTACATAAATGGATTTCTATGCATTGCTATGTGTAAATGCCATGGTCAATGCAAGTCATCAGACTAAAAAAGTAGGGAACATAAAGTTGAGCCTTGTTGGACTCCAGTTTTCACACAAAGATGATCCAATGACTTTAAATGGATATGAACTGCTGATAGGTACTATTACTAGTCATGTTTGATCAGTATACAACTAGTTTGACTTATTGAATCATAACTTTAGTCATTTTTTATGATTTTTTGATACATCACAGCAGCCATCTTGGATTTTTGGTGAAAAAGTCAATGGATTGCTTGGTGCCACTTCAGGTTTTCAAAAGAATGGTATGAAGTTTTGAAATCCACCTTAAAATTGCTCCTATATATTTTTGAAATATTTTCACCTAAATATTCTTGACTGTCATATTTTGTCAATACTACTTTAATCTCTAAATCAAAACCTCAGTACCACAAATTGTGTAAAGTTAATGTAAGGAAAATTTCATGTGCGTATGATGTTTCTTAATATGTAGTGTTATGTAAGCAAATACATGCAATTTCTATTCTATTTGTAGTTCTGAGGCAAATGACCTTGCTATGAGGTTGGCCAGAGCCCACACTGGTGCTATTGATACAATATGTCTAGACCAGTAAGTACTTCAGATCTCTTTGGGATTTAGAATACTAGAGGGTAGGCAATTCAAACATCGAAGCTCTGAATTTATTTAGGATTGAACTATTCAATCAATTAAGTCACCCATTTGTGAGACACATTTCTTAACATGGCCTGCCTTTCCTGCAGAATGTTTGAATGCTACATTTCTAGGTTAGAATATTGATGTGCACATTGTATATATGTAAATAAATGTGAAGGCTATATATGACTGGTTCATAGTATAATCCATGAAATGATTAGAATTGAAATACATGTACACATTATGTCATGTCATATCTTAATTCATTTAGTATTTGTCTTATCTGCATGCTGTGTAAATTCAGATTAAATAAATACTGTAGATTGGGTTAATTTGGCGCCCGCTTTAATTTGGCGAATTTGGCGAAATTGAAAAATTCGCCAATATAAATCTTCGCCAAAATTTAGAATGAATCCCCGGGAATTATCTAGGATATTTCATCCAGTGTATTTAGGTCACTTTTGGTTTAGTTTTTTTCCAAAAATATGAAAAAATGGTCAGTCACTCATTATAATACTCAGGGGAAAATAGAAAGGAAAAGTGTGGTATAGTAGCAGCATCGATCGAGGTGCAAAATGTAAAGGATGATCTCACGAAAATGTGCAAACATGGCAAAATCGCCAAATTAAGTAGCACCAAATTAACCCAATCTACAGTAATCCATGGTATATGAAGGCATTGATTGACATTTTATCTCTTTCTCAGTCATGCCAATTTCCCAGCTTTTGCATAAATTAGATTTAGGTGTCATATGCAGTGTGCACCAAACGATTTATCCCAAACAAGATGATATAAACTCTTTCATTTATCAAAAAAAGGAATTTTTCATTTTTTAATCAGCAGGTAAAAATTCATAGACATTTGTAATTTACTTCCTGAGAAATTTCATGTTTTAGATGACATGGTCTTAATGACCTCAAACATAATTGATGCAGCTCCAAAGATGGTAAAATGGATAATGATACTTAAGTTGTTCATTAAAACTAAATTAAGTTGGGGCACCCTGTACATATATCACCTTATTCTGAGTTATGTGAGCTTTTATTATCACCAACTCATTTAATTCTTCAAACCCTCTGACTGCCAACTCATCTGCACATGTTTTTTATGTCACCACCAAAAGTGGCGACATATTGTTATAGTCTCCGTTTTTTATGGCGGGCGGTGGTTGGTGATTGGCTGGTGCTGGCCGGCAGTCGGCATCTGTAACAAATTCTTAACTTCTAATAACTTGACAAATCGTCGCGTGAGAATAACTTTGTACTAACTGCCATTTTCAAAAAAATTGAGATAGACATGGAATTTTACTATTTGAAACACAGGCTTTCATCTCAGATACATGCCCCATCTCAATTCCCTCTCATTTAGCTAGAATTCAGTGTGAAATTGTACCATCTCCAGACAAACAGCTTATTTCTAATTTCAAATTGTCATATCTGATATCAACTGTTTCAACCAATCAACTCTCTAAGAATTGGTCATGTGACTTGCAAAACTTGGAGTTATAACAATCTTATATTAAAACGAAGTATGCCAATATGCATGTTATTGTATCTAGAATGAAATAATGTTTTGTAACACAATACCATGCCAGTTTGCATGCCTGGCCTTTCATGTTTTAGTTTTAGAACTATTACAAGTAGATCAAAAAAATAAAATGATACAGTATGTGTAATCCCATGCATATTCAAATTATATGCCCTCAATTACTCTTTGTATTATGGATGCTCATTGGATTATTCATGGCCACATGATATGAAATAGAATTACTAATTTCCTCTAAAACCTAAATCCTTGCTACCAGGGAAGATGAAAAGTACAAATGACCAGTTAATTAGATCATGTGAGCAGTCAAAAGTACCCTTTATCTTCCCTGCTACCAGGTCTTATAGGGGTTTGAATGGCCAAATGCAATAGAAATGTATATACGAAGCTGTCATCATTAAATGTTGAAAATGAAAGACTACTTATTTGTGTCTTCAAATAGAGTACATAATAATGGGTTATATACTAGATATAGTAATCAAAACAAATAGTAACTGTCATATTTTGCACTACATTGCTCAAAGGCAATCACTGTCTGTATACTATTGAAATCTCTTTCAAAATGATGTTTTATAGTTTGTGGAAAAAAGCTAAATCTATTTGAACTAGCTTTAACTTTTACTGACCATACACTATATCAATAAGGAGTTATCTTTATGTTAGTATAGTCCCTTAAAACACTTATTTTATTTTCTCTTCATCTATGATTTACTTTGCGCTTTTCACTGAACATCTGGGATCTTTTTAGTTATTTTATTACTAGTATGTATTTCAGATTTGTCCTTTCTTTTGCATTTTTGGGATCATTGTTTTTAGATCATCTACATTTTATTTTGGAAAAGTAACAAATTGGTTCAATTTCTTTACAAAGAGCCACTCTTAGTCTCCACTTCTACAATTGCTTCAATTCCCAATTGTACTCCACAGAGTAGCAAACAACAGAAAATGAATGGATAATGATAGCTGCATCCCAATGAACAAAATGTGATTACCTAAATCGAGGTTTCATCACTTTCATTAATCTAAAATGAATTAGAAATTAGTTTTCTATTTTCAAAGGACGATTCTCGGTTTGGAGAACGAAGTTCATCAATCTAAATGAGCATTATCCCTGCTTCGGACAAATTTGATTTTTTTACATACTATAGCTTTGAATGTCTTCTTTTGAATAGTCATAATTTAATTTGGGTAATATTTCTAGATTTTTCGCAAAAAAAATATTAGCGCAGTACACTGATGAACTTCTTTCCCCAAATCGAGACTTGTATTTTATTGAATCAGTCTAATTGAGCGTTATCCCTGCTTCAGACCAATTTGTTATTTTTACATCTTGTAGATTTAAATGTCCTCTTTTAAATATTCATAGTTTAATTTGGGTAATATTTCTATATTTTTCATGAAAAGAATTATTAGCCCAGGAGACTGTTCTCCAAACCGAGAATCGTCCTTTCTTCCATGTGCATGTAATAAAAATTGGTTATGTCTTAGGCCCTAATGATCTGAAACCTGCTGGTACAAATGGAATTACTGACCAGTTGCAATGTTATTCTCCTATACCCAGTGAAAAAATCAACTGGTCTGTATCAAAAATAACCTGATAATGACCAGCGGACCGGCCCTTAGGGGCTACATTGTAATGTGCTGGGAGGTTTAGGCTACAGGGTTTATACCGAGGGAAATATGTGGGGGACCGTATTGGCATCATTGGTTTCAATGCATTGTACTTCTGCCTTAGTTTCAAAGGCAATAAATTCTTTTTGAAGGGTGTCCTGAGATTCCAAAATTAAGAAATAATTGTACTTATTTGAGAATTGATTTTAAAGTTTTATAAATTGAATTTTCTTTATTTTATTAAATAATATTCTTTGGTTTTTGAAGATTTTTTTACAAAGCAAAACATTATTTTTCATTCTAGATACAATAACATGTACGAGGGTTGTCCCAGAAGTAATGCACTATATGCTCTAACTTTCTTTTATATTCTTCAATTCAGCTGAAATGTTGTGTAAATAACAATTGAAGTTTTATCTATTATATCCTGAAGTTTCAGCATCCAACATTAATATTAAGTCTTAATATGGTTGCTATAACAACATGAGGGTAGGGGTGGGCGGGGCAGGTACCAATTTTTCTAATAATGAAAAGATCTAAAGTGTTATTTTATTAATATTTCTTTCCTTTAAATGGTCAAAATGTTTGGGAAATTGTTAAATTTATTCAGCATGATGTTAACCAAGTGCGAATAATGACATTTAGCACTGTGATGTCATGATATCACATTTCAATAGTCTCGAATTCAAATACAGTCACAGTCAAGAAATTGCAAAAATGGCTGCAATTCTCACCTGATAACAGAAGGCCTTGCGTTTGGTGGCCTAATTTCATACTTCACTTGGACTCACAGCCACGCAAAACAATGCTACCATGAAGAAAGTATATAAGGAGTATATACCAGATAGAACTACAATTAAAGGGGTGGCAGAAGAGATTTAAAAGAGACGATTTGACCCTGTATGACAACTCCAAACATGGGAGGCAAAAACTCCACAAGTCACAGTGGAAGAAATTGCCGAGAGTGTTTGACCTGACAGGCATCAAAAGTACATAACATGCAAAGGGCAATATTTTGAGAAAATGTGAAATGGGACACTGTGCAATATACATCTATTAAATCTAGGATGTGCTCATAGTAATTTAGTATCTTAAAATGTATTTTTGAGCATACTTCTTATAGCTACACCAAATGGTATTTGTTGATTAATTATTTCATATTTTCAATTTTTTATTCCTTTTGACGTGACTGTTTAACCTGCCCCGCCCTACCCAAACTCACCAACTTGATTTTATTATAACATCAATATAGTTTTATCAGTCAACATGAAAATTTTTAGAATAATCAAAATGTATCTAAGGAACATTTACTGAAAATTTCATGGAAAAATATCAATTGTTGATAAACTTAAAGCATATAGTGCATTACTTCTGGGACAACCCTCGTATATTGGCATACTTTGTTTTAATATAAGATTGTTATAACTCCAAGTTTTGCAAGTCACATGACCAATTCTTAGAGAGTTGATTGGTTGAAACAGTTGATATCAGATATGACAATTTGAAATTAGAAATAAGCTGTTATTCCGGTGGGAAATTGTATCAACTCCATTTCCATAGTTTTAAAAAAGGATCTTGTAAATTGTTTCAAGGTATAATATTTCATATAAGATATCTCTAGGGTGAGACCAGGTGACATACAAAAAATCAAGTTTCACATAGCAATACTAAGTAAGATACAGACCTCTAAACTTTCAAACCTTGATTTCTCAGTTCCGTAAAAATGTGAGATAGTACAAAGTTATTCTCATGCGACGAAATATTGTTTAGACTGACTTCAATTTTTTTCAAAATCATCT